GGTGACGGGTCACGTGATCTGATTGCTCCCTTTTGTTCTTGTTTGTTTTATTTCCCATGCGCACATGCGCCAATTATATAGCCAGGGTGGAGGGGATCGCACGCAAGAAGACACCGAAGCTGCGCGGTCAAGGTGAGAGAGCAAACAGCATTTATCGTCTGCTTTCGCCGAACAGACGGCTTTTTAATCATCGTGGCCGCTGAGCAGTGAAGGGTTATCATCGCAGTGACCCTCCTATTTTTCAGCACGGATCTGTTCCTGATCGAGTACTTCGCGAAGAGCGCCGTGTCCATCGAGGACAGCATGAAGGAAGACTACGGCGAGGGCGCCCAGGCGTCGTCCGCGCTTATCGAGAACACGATGCCCGAGCCGCCCGTGCCGACCCCAGGCCGTGGCCGGCGCCGCACAACTTCTGCTCGCGGTCACCGCACCACAGCTAAGCCTCGCGGTGAGTGTCTTCGCCATCTTGGCATGCATCGGGGTGGTTCTCCATTCTTTTCGAGAGTCTCGATAAGCAGGTAGTCAGTTTTATGAATGATGTACGAAGTTTTGGTGCGCACCAGTGCCCCGGCTGTTTTTTTTTTTTTTTTTTCGTCACAGCACGTGCTCGTTATCGTGCAACTTTTAGGCGTGCAATTGAGATCAGCTGCCCGCTTGATTCTCATGAATCGCTACGGCAGACGTCTCCATGATGGCTTCCCGGACCGTCCGTGAAACCGTGGCCTCCGCGATCGGCTGCCGGCCGCCCCATTCGGCGCGAAAGCAATGGGAGCGGTGTAATTTTGCTAACTCCAACACACGCCGCGAGGCGGCGCCGTTAGCCTAAGGTTGAACGAGGCTCATTTGACCGACAGTGCCTGTGATTTCAGGTGTCCGCCAGTCTTCGTTGTCGAGTTTTCACTGCAGACAAACCTTGAGTATGCGCTCAATGTGTTTGTACTCGTTCCTGCAAGCAGTACAAAGTTAAGGTACGTACGTTTTTTAACCCCTTAAGGGCTTATGACGACCTGCGCTCGTCAAGAGCAGTTGCCACTATTTTGCTTATGACGAGTTGTGGTCGTCATGAGTTTTCCGCAATGCTCCTACAGGCTTTTGACGAGCCCGGGTCGTCAAACGGGGATTTACGGAACCTGTGCTGCCATCTATGTTTAAGCACCGCAAGTTCCGTCATTGGCGGTGGTTATAGTTTGCACACTAGATGGCGGAATGTGTGCGCTTGTTTCCCGCGCGTTTTACAAACATGGCCTCATCCGTGCGGCGTTCTGATGCGGAGAATCTTCCTTCTTCAGACGATGAAAGCGAGAGTGATAAGGATGCCACCTGAGTGTTTTATTCTTCAAGTGAAGAAGACAGTGATGACGTTTTTACGGACAGTGTCTCTGAAGGAGAAGACAGTAGCTATGATACAATGGCTAGCTCCCGTGAATGGTTTCGCATAGACCTCGACAACATCCCAGCCAGACCTCCACGGTTTGATTTCAGGGGTTTCACGGGACTGAAGATCACAGTAAGCTCTCCCCCTCATCCACTTGAGCTCTTTGAAGCTTACTTTGATGATGAGCTGCTTGATGTTATCGTCGTGGAGACAAACCGGTACGCTTCTCAGCTTCTGAATTCTAGCAAGCTGGGACAACATTCTCGCTTCCGAAAATGGTATGCACTTACGCGAGAAGAACTTCGCGTTTCTCTGAGCCTCCTGTTGCTGCAAGGCATTGTGCAAAAACCAAATGAAAGGATGTACTGGTCTAGGAATTGGCTGGTTGAGACTCCGGTCTTTGGCGAGATAATGTCCAGAAACCGCTTCGAACTAATAATGAGAATGTTGCACTTTGTCGACAACACGACAATCGAAAATTGTGAAGGACACCCTCAACCTCATCTGAGGAAAATCTGGCCGGTTTATCAGGCACTTCTTGAAAAATACCGGACATTGTATGTGGCGGAGCGGGACGTCAGTGTCGACGAGAGCTTGCTGCTCTTCAAAGGCCGGCTCAGCTGGAAGCAGTATATGCCCCTGAAGAGAGCGAGGTTTGGCATAAAGTCATTTTTGCTGCGCGAATCTTCAAGTGGGTACATATGGAACTCTGTAATTTATACAGGGAAAGAAACGAACATTGAGATCTCGTCAGAAGAAGCAGCAACCTTCGGAATGGCGACGAAAGTTGTTTTGAAGCTTCTGGAGCCCCTGCTAGACAAAGGCTACTGCGTCACAACTGACAACTTCTACACCTCACCAGAACTGGTTGACTTTCTTTTGAAGAGATCAACTGACATCTATGGCACGACGCGAGCCACTCGCAAAGACCTTCCGCCTGGTTTCGCCAAGGCAAAGCTCAAGAAAGGCGAGATGGTTGCCTTTCAAAGGGGCAAGTGCTTGGCTGTTCAGTGGATGGACAAAAAACTGGTGACGGTTCTATCTACAGTACATAGTGCTGAAATGGCGCGATTCATTGACAAAATGGGCAAAGAAACCCTGAAGCCAGAAGTTATACTTGATTATAACCATACAATGGGAGGAGTTGACAGAGCAGATCAGATGCTGGCGAGCTACTCAGTGCCACGGAAACGAAAAAAGATCTCCTACAAGAAGATCTTCCAACACCTCTTGGATGAGGCGACCTACAATTCATTCGTTCTGTACCAGAAAGGAGGAGGCCGAGCATCTCATCTGGAGTATAGGCTAAGGCTTATTGATGAGATCATCACGAAGTACTCTCCCAACACCGGCACCAAGAAGAAAGGACGGCCAGGGCGCCCCCTGAACGCAAAACGGTTTGGTGAGCGCCACTTTCCATCGCACATACCACCAACAGAGAAGAAGCAAGAACCGACACGCCGCTGCGTAGTCTGCTACATGAAGCGAGATGTAAATGGCAAGAACATCCGCAAGGAAACCAGGACCTGGTGCAGGTGGTGCGAGAAGGCTCTCTGCGCAGTGCCGTGCTTTGAACGCTACCACACGGATGGTAGCCTCAACTAGCTTCAAGTGAACTATCAAGAAATTGTTTGTTTTCTGCAAGGCAATTCAAACCCGACCCGTGCTTTCTGGAGTTGCAGAAATTAATTTGTGAATACACCAGAAATGCCCCAAATATAGGGTATTATATGGGGTAAAGAATGACCAATTAAACATGATTATCGACTATAAACAATTTTTGCAAATATTTTTGTGTTTTGAACACGTTTCTGAAGCATATCACATCATTAAAAAATTTGGCCATATTGGTGCATAATATATTTGTTTAATGAGCCCTTAAGGGGTTAAAAGACTTCGTTAAAAAAGTTTGTTTTGCTGCAGCTGGTGTGGTTACGTGAATCGAATGAGGCAGCCCAAACTCCTTTCGCATTTCCTGCAGATTGAATGCCAGTGTGCTGAATTCTTTTGTCACTTTTACGGCCTTTTCGCGAGCTATCACGGCGGTTCACCTTGTTATGCCTTGCCGGCTGTTTCGAAAGTACTTGGCCACAGTGAGCTGGGCTATTTTGTGTGCGTGTGTGCGCGCGTGTTGTTTCACGGCGCTTGTGCTTGCGTGGGCGTTCGCTGCGCACGTGTGCATATTACGTGGTGTGCGTGGGGGTTTGCGCGCACGTGCGTGTGTGTGCGGGTGTGTGCATGCGTATGTGAATGGGTTTGCGGCGCGTGTTCATGTGAGTGTGTGTAGGTTCACACGTGCGTGCGCGCACGTGTGTGCGTGCGCATGTGGGTGGGTCCGCGGCGCATGTTAATGTGTGTGTGTGTGTGTGTGTAGATTCACACGCGCGCGCGTTGAATGTGTGTGCGTGCACGTGTGTGCGAGACAGAGTGAGAGAGAGCAGCGTAATATCGATAAGAGCTCGAGTGTTGTTTATAGGCAAGTGATTGCAATTGTCGAAAGCTCTAAGCTAGTCTTCCGCGTGAACGAAGCGACCACGCGTACGAAGCGACAATTTTTTCTTGACTCTCGGTTTACTATCACGTATATGTTGCAGGTGTGCTTAGCGGTCTTACGTAGCTATCGCAATTTCGCTGCCTCATTATTTGCCGTGAGTGAAAATTACACGGTTTTCTGGCGTGCGTTACACACCGCTGTCCGCTCTGCTTCTGTATTTTTTCAAAAGAATGTATTGCAGCGTGCCTTTCTGCAAGTCGGACAGGAAAAGAAAGCTCGAAATAAGTTTTCATGAATTTCCTGCGAACGATGACCGTCGCCAAGCGTGGCTGAAGGCAATATCAAGAAAAGATTTTGTCCCAAATGACAAATCACCGAGCAGTGTCGTCTGCAGCCTTCATTTTGCAGATTCAGACTACACTTTGGGGTCCACAAAGCTTCGCCGCCTCAAACGGGATGCTGTTCCGAGCGTACTTTCGGGATACCCAACCTACATGCACCCGCAAAAACCACCAAAACGGCGTAAATTGAAGCGAAAGGTACAGGACTTCCCTTCAGACAAAAAAAAGGCATCAAGTTTGTCAAGTTGCCATGCCAAAATGACTGGTTCAGCCTGTGACAGTGCAACCACCCCAGGCCATTCGTCAAATTCTGATGGCTCGTTGCCATCAGTCCCTGAAGGAAATACAGAGGCGAGTTTTCAAGGTGCGGGCCATGACGGAGGCCATCTGTCGCAGACTTCTGTAAGCCATGTGTCAATATTTAGCCCCAAGGAGGGTCAGGTGGCTATAGGGGCGAAAACAAGTGCACAAGATGCAGTTGGTGAACTGCAGCGGCCTACTAACTCAGTTGAATGTTCAGCGCAAACTTGTGATGAATTCCTTCCACGCAGGCAGTCAGATGCAAGGGCAATCAACAGATTGAGGGTGCAATTGTTTAGAAAAGCAGATACTGTAAGGAGACTGCAGCGAGAAAACAGCTGCCTAAAAAAGAAGCTCAGTGGTTATGAGAACAACACCGTCCACTCGGCAATCAGAAAATGCTTGGAGAAGGTTGGCACGGCCCAGTTCTGCCTAGAAGATTGCTTAGTGGAGATCACCAATGCAACAAGGCAATGACCCGCATGGTCGCCAGACTTTGTGCGGGAATGTGTACTATTGTACTACTTGTCCCCCAAGGCGTACCGTTACATACGCAACCGAGGCTTGCTTAAACTGCCGTCGAAAAACACCCTCCTTCACTATGTCGGGAAGTCGAACAGTGAAAGTGGGGTCACACCACTAATGAAGGAACGCTTAAAGCAAGAGGTGGGCAACCTGAAAGAGCAAGCCCGGCTTTGCTCAATTATTGTAGATGAGATGTCCATCAGCTCCAAATACATATATGTTCGCAAAATGGATTGCTTTTTCGGGCAACAAGCGGCAAAAGAAAACAGTGGAGCAGTAGAGAACACCAGCAACATCATGCTTGCCAACAAGGTGCTATGTTTTGTTGCTACAGGATTGTCCACAGCATACAAGATACCTTGCAGCTTCTTCTTCACGAACCGTCTAAGTGGCAAGCTTTTGTACCAGCTTACAAAAGAGGTAATCTCTGAAGTTGAAAAGTGTGGTCTGTGTGTGCTCCGGATTGTCACAGATAACCACAAAATTAATGTTACGATGATGCGTCACCTGGGGAACGGCTCACTCAAGCCTGTTGTCACTCATCCATGTGACCCAGAAAGAAGCTTATTTCTGTCATTTGACCAGTGCCATATTATAAAAAATGTGCGAAGCCTTCTACTTGTGGGGGAGATGACAGACGGAAGCCAACCAATAACGGGACAGTTTGTCAAGCAGCTGTATGAGCTACAAAAGAACGAGATTGTCAAACCAGTTCGCTTCCTCACGCAGAAGCACGTAGAACCAACGAACTTTGAGAAGATTCACGTCGGCAGAGCAGTGCAGCTGTTTTCAGACGATGTCATCTCGGCACTTTCCTTTTTGAAGGAATACCCGAGTCGCCACCCTCAGGCAGAGAAGTTCAGAAATGCAGAGGCGACAATCTTGTTCATGAAGATGATGCAAAAGTGGTTCGCCATCCACAATGTAGCAAACCGAACTGCGCATGTGCGCATGAGACAGCCTGACCAGAGGTGCAATTATATACAAATTCCAAATCCGGACGGAGGCGGTCTGTCGGTGACGTCAAAAAGTGGGCGGTCCGCAAAGGTCGCGAGGACGAGAGGAAGTGAACAGCCAATGAGGGAAATGAAGGCTTGCGTCATCATTTTGACGTCGACTTGGGGACCGTATAGCAAAGTAAAAAGTGTTTGTAACATGTTCAGAAGTGTTTGACTATTATTGCGCACTATTAAAATGTGTTGGCACTAGTTTTCTATTGTTTAATAAGGAATACGATACAATCTAAACGTACTTTTTCTGTTATTTTTCTAAACAACGCTAAATTTAGCGAGACGGTTAGTGGTGGCGCTAGTACAACTTTGTTTCAAGCAGTTACTGTTTTCTAAACTCCACTACTAAACGGCGCAACTTTCGAAGTCGTTGGCTCGGTCGAGCGCAGTCATGGCGGAGGGCAACGGCACCGCTAGCCACCAGCAGCAGCGGCTCATCCGCGTTTCCGAGGGTCAGCGTGCGCTGGTGCTCGCCTTTATGACCGAACATCCACAGCTCGCGGCGAAAGCCATTGAGTTGCAGCATGGCGTCACGGTCGCCGACCGGCGGCGGCTGCGCCAAGAGCTCAGCGACGCGCTGAACCTTGTAGGCCCTGCGCAGAAAAACGTGGATGAGTGGCAGGCTTGGTGGCGCAGGCAGGTGCATGAGGCCCGCCGTGACGCCGCCCCCATCAAGGAGGCACAAACGTGAGTAACCGTCGAATGTGCGGGCGATTTGTTCTTTGACATTGGTGTATATTTCCAGGGGCACTGGAGGGGGTCGTCTGCCAGGCTTCCGTGGTCGCTTGTTGCAACTAACCGGGTTGGCACGCTTCGGTGGCGTCTTCGCTTCCCTTGAATATCAACAGGTAAGCACTCTGCCGCCGCAGTATCACGGGTTCCTGAGCGGTGCCATGAGAGAGTTTGCCCATTTTGTAAGTGGTGCCTTTAGGGGAACCTTGTTGAACAGTAAGATAGTGCAGGAAAAAGAATTCAAAAGCAGGTAGGTTTGTCAACTGAAATCTCACTTTGCAGCCCTTGCAGTAAAAGGCGTATTTATTTATCAAACAGACACGAAATGCCTGCGGGCAAGTGCATGCACTAAAATAGTAATACGTGATATCAATGACCACTGAATAGCTGCAAAACATTTCCGCAGATGTTTAGTACGTAAGGTTGTAAAATAGCCGGAGTAATGAATACCCTTTTTCTGAAAGATTATGCCCAGGACACTTTCCAGCAGGCGGATGTTCCCGCTCCTGCAGTGGAGGTCGAGGTGGAAGCCACTGAAGCGGCTGCAGGTGACAGTGACACAGTGACACGTAAGCATCTGAGAACTTGGTGTTTTATTGATTATAGGGCGTATGTGCCCCCAGTTTGTGAACTTTTATTCTTTACTCCACAGAAGGCCCCCCAAGTTACCTTGAAAGCGGCCCCGCTGCACCGGGTAAGCTATTGATCATCAAAGTGTTTTGAGAAAATAACCTCTCGTATGTTATTCGAATTGCCCAATTATCGACAACATTGCCATTGACTTAAAGCCTACCACAGCACGCGGTGACGAAAATGCTGCATGTTTTCAGTGTCTCAGCCTCCTGTGCGGCCTCGCCGTCGACAGAGGCCACGGCGCACCGACACCTTGTTGCGGGTGTCTTCGCAGTGCGACCAGAGCCTCGAGCTGACTGAGAAGTTGCTTGATGTGAGTAGACCGTTTGTTTAAATTTTACGTAAAGGGTGTGAACATTTTTGATGCTCTGTTATGATGACTGAAACCAACTTGGGCTGTAAATAAGAAACATGCATTGTATTGAGGGCATGGTATCTGACATCTGCAATGATAAACTGCCGGCCAAAAGGTTGGTTAGCCCTGAAAAGGGCTGTTTGATGGTAAGAGATGCATTTGAAGAGATGAATGAAGAGTAGTTCCAGCAATTGTTTGTTGATCCAAACGAAGAGGGCATAGCTTGTACACGAAGCTTCACACTTTCAAAGGATGCCACCAGGCCAATGAATTTTCAACTGAGGGGAAATTGTTGTTCACGTTGCAATTCTCCGCAGTAGCAGCTTCAAGCCACGAGATGGTCGAGAGTTCTTCAGCAGCTCATGCAAACATTTCCACCATGATGATTCATTGCAGGCGGTGCGGGGGATCAAAAGGTCAGCCATCCACATAACTTCTCTAGCGCGGCGTATGGCAGCAGCACAGGAGCGGGCGAGCGCAGCACAGGAGCGGGCGGCCGCAGCACAGGATCGGGCGGCAGCACCACAGGATCGGGCGGCGGCACCACAGGAGCGGGCGGAAGCCAGCAGTACTTCTTTTGCGCGACTGACCAACGCCTACAGTGGTTGGAAAAGGACTTTCCAGACTACCTCGAGGCTCTCAACAATGCCTGTAAAAGGAGTGGGAAGAAGTTTCTAAGCGCAGAGACTTATGAAGCTATTTTGCTGACGAGCAAGTCTACGGTTTTGTGTGTAAAGTTCCTTCTCGAGAGCGGTTTCTTTTATGTTTTGACGAGGAACCTCTCAAGCGACCCTGTGGAACTCCTCTTCAGTTCTCTACGGCAAATGGCCGGTGGCAATGACTGCCTGGATGCAAGAGCCGTGACGTTCAGCCTGGAGAGGATCTTGAGGACTGGCAACCTCTGCCCATCCCAGTCTTCAAACGTCGAGGACGGGCAGACTGTCTTGAGGTAGGTACACATGATCTGATGCTTTAGGGCAAGTGCTCATGGTTGGGCAGGTTGTCTTTGCTTTTAACAGGACCCCCATAAATTTTTATGGCCTCACACAACGCATAGCACGCGTTGTGTGCAGCTACTACTGTTGTAGCCTGTTTACTGATTGAGATTGTTGTGTTTGAGCCACGTGAGCACTCAATATCATCTGCTCACATAGACAATGTTTCAGGAGTATAGAGGACTGCTGCTCACAAGTGATTGCGTTTATTTTACGTGTGTTTTGCAGCATACATGGCGCTTCCATGAGCGTGACGTCCCCTGTACTGGATGTTCCAGCTGAAGCAACAGCACAAGCTGCCACACCTGTTTCGACTGAGACATCTCAAGTTGCCTAGCCAGGTATGCCGCATCAAATGTTTTGCAAGACTTAATGCTTGCTTGCCTGGCTGTTCTTCTTTTCCAGCCAGCAGCCTTTTTTCTAATACATGTTTTGCACATCTTTTTTAGTTGCACTGTACCTGAAGACGTTGTGATGGAAATCGACGGGCTGTTTACACCACTGAAAGCACTGCCTCATAAGTAGGTGAGTAGAGGCTCATTGGAGTATTATTAAATGTAAGATAAACAAAAAGCCACCATCTTCACTTGCTTTATCTGAAGGTTATCTGCTGATTGTTAGCAACGCACCAAAATTTATGTTGATGAGGGCTGGGTGGAAACAGTGATGCATTTGCATTACACACAAGATCTGTCTTTATGGGCTGTCTAAAATTTGCTCTGTTTACATTACTGCCAAACACAATTTTTATGCTCTCACTGGATACTTTTTATTCTGGTGTTTCTTTTCATATCTGCTTATTTTCTTTTTCAGTGCAGCGGCCACTGTCAACCATAGTGAATGCTAGCATTGCTTACATAGCCGGGTTTGTGGCAAAAGCAGTCGAGGAGCGGAGAACATGTACCTTCTGCCCTTCCCTCCATCAATCAGATGGATCCAGTCCTGTGCTAATTGGGCTAATTAGCCTGAAGTCAAGGGATGGCCTAACTTTCCCAAAGCCTGAATTTGTCGTGGTACTTGTGACCATTAAGAAGGCTGTTGACATTGCTCTGCCGCACATAAAAAAGAGCAATGTGCGTCAGCAACTGGCTGAACTGATTTTGCCTCACCTTGAACAGTGCCCCCTTTTTGTATACCCGGCAAGAGATGAGCATGGTGCGAACACACTGTCAGTGGTCTTCGACAAGTTTATTAAGCCACTCTTGTCCAATGTCGGTGCGGCTGTGACAGACAGGGCAGCTTACCGGAAAAAGCTTGCATGTAAACCACTGTATCGAAAAGTGCTGCGCGTGTAAACTTGTGCAACGCATGAAAAACATGGTGCATACTATGTGCCTCTGTTTTTGGGTTGTTTCTGTAAATGAAGTCTCATGTATAAACTTGTATGTAAGTCACTACTTTGCAATGTGCTCCGTGAACAGAATTGCGCAATGAAGAAAAACATGCTGCAAACCGTCCTTTTTTTTTCTTGCTGTAAATAAAGTATCATGCATCCTGAAATGAGTTTGTTTGTCCTCTTTCCGAGATGTTGCTTCGGTGCATTAGCCTCCAATGTTTAGGGCAACCGCGGGAAAAATTTTCTGCTGAGTTCAAGGACGCGGGCTCGATTCGCGGCCGCTTTTCTGCTGGAGGCGAAAGCGGCCCGTGTGTTCCAGATTTCGGTGCTCGTTAAAAATCCCCAGGCGTGTGGGCGCCGAGGGGAGGGGGTGCAAAAAAAAGGCACTTGCTCCCCCCCTCCCCCCACCAAATCATTTTAACACTTTACCCCATGCCCTCTCCCTTTCCTTCGCGCAACAATAGATTTGCCCCCTCAAGGTAAAATCCTGCCGGCGCCCATAACCAGGTGGTCACAATTAATCCGGAGCCCTCTACTACGCTGTGCCTCATCGCCTATGTAGCGTCGACGCGTTAAACCTCATAATAAAAATTGACCCAGTTCCAGCCAGGCAACTTCAACGGTAAGCATTGCAGGAAGTTTGTCTTACCCAACACTGGATTGTGACAACGCTTTGTAAAACACCTGCACGCCGTGAAAGATTACATTTCACTTAACAATTTTTCTCTTAAATGAATGCGAACAAAAAAAATTTATATCTTTGGTACACAAAAAAACAAGCGGCACTGCGCTCTTTCTTTGTATCACGCCCTCTTTCACGTACTAAAATAACAAATACAAGCTTTCCAGAAATAAAACAAGACGGCTTATCTTTTTTTAAAAATGCGTGACCTTGAGCAGTGGGAGTCTGCGCTGACCAGCTCGGCGGCAGAGCATCAAATCGCCCTGATGCAACGAGCCCTACATTCGGCGCAAGATCGCGGCCTCCTGGACGTAGGAGGCTGACCACGTCCCTTTCCAGCCCCCTTCGCTGCTCAATGAAATGTTTTTACCACCACCACCTCAAAAATGAAAACTACTGATGTGCAATGAATTCACTTACGCTTCACAGCGGCCCTAGTCTACGTCAAAAATTAA